GTACATAGATAAAATAAAGGAATGGCTGTCCAGAAAAGGATAAGTAGTGATGGGTATTCTTATAACTGTGTTTTTAACTGCTGTTTTTCTGATATTTAACTGCTTGGGATTATTAAAGCTGAACTCCAGGGAAAAAAAAAAATTTGCCCCTGCAGTGGGCACCTCTCCCCATTGCAGGGGTTACCTGCTCATTCTACCTAAAGGATGATAAACAATGTGATTTACTTACCTTATTTCTCACTCTCACAGGTTTCTTCTTGTATCCATCCAGCAGCAGCACTCTGATGCCATCCAGTACAATGCAGAACCATCAGTCCTGCATTGTACATGAGAACACTGAGGGCCTGCCCACAGCCCAGGAGCATCAGACAGATGATAAGAGCACTGGATGCTGGGAAATGATGAATAAGTTAAGTATATCACTTTATTTATCATACATTATGCAAAACTCACAGTGGGACCCACTGTGAGGGTAAAGGGAAATCTTCCCTGGAGTTCAGCTTTAACTTAGTTCATTGGGCTACACTTATTGACAATTATTGACTAAAATACCAAGTATATAAGGGGTTAGCTAAAAAACACTACATGATTTGCAGATGTGAAAGTGAAAACATGTTTTGCTTTGAAATCAGAAGTGATCTAACATTCTTTTGCTTTTGCTGTGAGATGAGACACCTAGCTAACAGACGGGAAGCCTCACTTTCATCATTCACTGCTCCTAGTAATATGGAGTCATGTCAGAGCCTACTGAGCTTCAAAGAGGGCAAATTGTTGGTGCCAGCTTAGCTGGTGCCTCTGCGACTGAAGTGACTGAGACTGAGCTCTACAATTACTTTTGCAGCAGTTGTTTTCTTAGTCTGGGTCACAATCCTGCACAATGTCCTTTTACCCCTTTTGATCAGTTGACCATGTCAATCGTGCTTATGCTTATAAAAGTTTTCCTGGAGACTGTATATGCTGTCATAACCTTTAATACTGTACCTCGCAATACGGCAAATAAATTGGCAACTTCAGTCACAGAGGCACCAGCTAAGCTGCCACCAACGATTTGCCCTCTTTGAAACTCAGTAAGCTCTGACACGACTCTGTATTACTAGCAGCGCACACAGTGAATGATGAAAGTGAGGCTTCCCACCTGTTAGCTACAGTAGGTGTCTCATCACACAGGGGAAGCAAAAGAGTGTTACCTTACTTTTGCTTTCAACACTTTCGTTACTTTCATACCTGCAAATTATGTGGTGTTTCCATTTTTTTTAAATCTAACCCCTGTACCCTGGTGCTTGTATTTTACTTAGAAATTTAAACAAATTATAAGAAAATATAATCAAATTTCTGACATGCTATAAGAACCATGCAATAGGAATAAAGGCTGAACATAAATATATTTTAGAATTATGACACTTATGGACTTACGAAAATTAAAGTACCTTACATTTCATAAACGTCTGATCTTACTTGTAATAATATTGTAAAACTGATGGAAATTTGACAGTGCCTGACATAAAAATTCATAAAGAGGTAAAGCGCTTACTTTTTGACTTTGCGATGAAATGATGATAGCTATATTTTACTATAAGATATATGAATTCTTATAAAAAAAACTCTGAATACCTTAGGTTCTTATTACATTTAAATAAAAAAGAAGGTTATCTTATATTCTAAGCCTATATTTTTTTAGTTTTGTAGAGATTGGTGTTAGAACCTCTCTCTTGCTTTCTGAGCTCCTACTGGAAGCACTTGATCTCTTTATTTGTCCTGGTGAACACTGACCTCAGACAGAAACTGAGGAAAAAATCCCAAATTTTGTATTGTACCCACAACAGCAGTAGAGAGGACAGTATACATCCTTCCTTGTGGGGGAGAAGAGGATCAAACAGGGAAGGATGTATACTGGTTTAATATTTGCATGCTAGGTGATCTGATATGGCTTAGGGCTCGTTCACACTTGACTGTTTTTCCAACTCTTGCCAAACGCCCCTATAGAGTTGGTTTTTAACGCTCCGCAAATGCCACATGCGCGGTTTAGCGGTGGTTGCTAGGCATTTGCCAAGTGTTAAAAACGCCCCACAAATGCCTATAATGAAGTTTGAATGGTGTTAACGCTCCGCAAACGCCCCGCAACTGAGTCACAACTGCACCGCAAACGCCGGCCGGGCGTTTGTGGAGCGGCATCATAGACTTGAATAGGAGGCTTCAACTCCTCCTGACTCGACCAGAGGCGTCCGTTTTGCGTCTGTCCGCAATGCGACGCTAACGCTCACATTTGAACAGCACCATGTGCTGCAATGTGCAGAATGTTCCTAGACGCCTGTCGCCGCTTGCTAACAAGACTAGTGTGAACGTAACCTAAGTGTTGCATCTCAAGCGTAGATCCTGCAGAAGCAAATGCATTGAAACACGTTGATCCTATACGCTTATTGTTTGTTCATCACAACTTACAATACTTTATGATGGTGCTAGACAGCGATATTCATTGTTTTTATGTAAAAGGTCTATTTTAATTGCATGGATTAATAAATATTACATATTTTTATAATTTGTGTTGTATATTTATCCAATTGTGAGGTACAAAGTAGGTATAAAGTTCTTTTTTCAGTGCAAGATAGTTCCACATTTATGCTTAGGTGTGGTTACTTATGCTTGCTCTTTGTTTCTGCTTTGATTGAAAGTTTGGGATGGTGCCACAATATGGATTCTTCAAACTTGGCTCCTAAACACACATTGCCTCATTCTTGCTAATGTGTAACAGGTAACATAGTTGCACAGTGGTTGTTACCACTGTATTCCTACATTGTGCTTTTGTTGGGTGTATTCCACATGCTCCAGATTTCTCCATGATTAAAAAATATTTTGGACAAATTGATTTCACAGCATGTTGGTAGCTTGATTGACATTTGCATATAATTGTTTCTAATTTAAGACCTGTCATAAAGTAAGACATATTGGCAGGTTAAAGCGGGCGGCAATTTCAGGCGTGTACCACTGTCTGGGGCAAGGAATGGTACTTTTTCTTTTTGTTAACTGCTGCAAGATATGTAGGCATTATTTGAAAAAAAGTTAATAATAAGAATGTTTTATCACTTTATAGTGGCATAGACAATGACATCAGAATATATTGATTTATATTGGGTATGGAAAGGTCATTATTCATATTTGTGAAAACTAAACTCTACCATTTTTTTGTTTTGTTTTTACCGAGAACTCCCTATATTTCAAGTTTTAAATCTATAATAAAAGAAGAAAAACAATACATGTTTTGGAAGAAAGTATACTTTTTTTATATTATATATATATATATATAGTAGTAAAATAAATGGTAGCAGTTTTTTTCAAAACCCATTCTGTCCACATATATTTTCCAAATAATTACAAAATAATGAAACGTTTCAGTTCCTGATGCACGTAAGGGACTCTTGACTAGTGCCAGTTGCAGACAGCTGATTTATTGGAAATGCAGAGTCTCCCTCTGGTCAATACCATACTTAGTCTCAGAGAAGCATTGCTGGTCTCATTTATTTAAATCTAGTAGATGTTAATGCAAAATGAGGGAAGTGAGAAGAAGAACAGGTACAAGGAAATTCATCATGTGGAAGCTGTCTATAGTAAACACCCTCAAAATGTTGTCCTCTCTAACTTCAATTAGGTTTTCATTTCCATGCTAAAGACTTGGTGTTGTTCCTTTAAATTCCCCTATTATGGCAAATTCATTTGGGTTATTTTCAGAGCCAAATTAGCACATGAAATCCCAGCAGATTCAGGATGAACAAATGAAGTACACAAAAAAAAATCACAAGGACAAGAATAAACACATATGGAACAGATCAGCTTTAAGGTCATTGCCACTTAAAGGGATGCAGCATTTTAGGCTTGTTGTTTTTCCTGTGTGGTTTTCTGTAAAAATAAAAGGAAAATATAACTTTCCATTTTCATCCCCCACAGCTATCGTTATGCTTGTATCACATGGGCATCAGCTTGTATAAGCTTTTATGAAACTTTCAGCAAGCTTTGGCAAAGCATTTAACAAGCTTCAAGCAGGTTTCTATAAGTCTTTAAAGCACCCTTCAGCTCTTGTTTGGAAATATTATACACAGATCTTAATGTGAATGCTGATTGTCTCTTTAAACAAGCTGCTACCAGGCTTCAGAAGGTGGTGAAGCAGCAGTTTGTTTAAAGTGACAATAAGCACTTCCATTAACCACTTCACTCCGATGCCTCCCGCTTTAACAAAGCTTGCTCAAAGCTCTGCAAATGCTTTGTAAAAGCTTGTTGTTAACACTGCTCTTATACAAGCTGAAGCCTGTGTGAAACTTAGTCATTATTTATACTTGTGATTGAAGGACTGTAAAACACTACTGTCCCTCAATTGCTCTACCTGTTGCTGCTGAGGCAGCAGCCAGGGGTGTAAACATGCAGTGGTCATGGCAGGAATTATACTCTCTGTTGTGTTTTGTGGACAGTACCACCCGCCAAGCATGACCCATTCAAATGAATAGTGCCATGCTGCAACCAACACACAACTGTGCACTATGCACAATGTCGTCTGGCAGGGGCTTAACCTCTTGGTGCCGGCCACACAAAAATGTGCGGCCTCCCAGTGTCTGGGCCTTGACGCTGAGCGGCCCGCACATTTGCGCGCAATTAAGAAAAACATACTTGCTGAGAGCGCGCACCCTGTGCACTCCCAGCACACATGTTCCAGTACTCACGGAAAGGTCCCGATCTCCTCTTGTGATTGGGACCTTTCCCGATCATGTGACCACTGTGACAGCAAATCACATAACCCTAAAACCCCGCCCCCCTCCCACCTTCTGAAACCCTTAAAGGGCTGAGAGGAGCTGGCGCCAAGGAGTTAAAACAGATAGTGAGGAAATGATACAATGCCTCCCACCTCCTCTCTATTGCTCTCTGAAACATGTTTTGAATGTGGATCTCGCTTCAGCAAAGCAAAGCAAGTCTAAGCAAGACCTCATAGAATAACTCATGCTGATATGTGCAGATATTAGGGAGGTACAGGGGCGGACTGACCATTTGGAAACTCGGGCACTGCCCGGGGTCAGTAGGGGGCCCCATGAGATGCCCCTGGTACCTTTTTCATAGGCTTTTTTGAGTTTGGGCAAGGACACAGGGGCCCCATGATCCCCTATTACCCGGGGGCCCCATGAGTTGTCAGTCGACCCCTGGGGAGGTAAGATAAATTGTACTTACCTCTGTGACATCCTTTACTAGATTTGTTAAGCTGAACTCTAGGCACATACTGTATAAAGGGTACCAATGAAAGCAGCTTTGTAATCATTAACATTTAATTAACTGCTAGTTATATAAGTACCAGAATTTGACTTGACATCAGCCTCTTGCAATCTACTGCACTGTCTGTACATTGTACAGTGTAGTTTTGGGGAGGGTGAGTAGAAGCAGCACAAGGAGCCAATCGGGTGTGTTTTCAGTGCAAGGAGCATGCTGATAGGAGGAGAAAAAGCAGAGGGCAAGAGAAATAAGCTCATCTGTTTGCTGCTTTTCTCTTTATTGTCCTGTCATAGGGTTGGAGTAGGTAGAGAACATATAATTGAAATTTAAGACTGATATACAAGCTCCCCCTACCCCTCTTCTCCACTCCCCCTTCCCTCACTACTTCTAACTTATCTAACTAAAACTGTGGTCAAATGACACTCTAACTTTAGCTGTCTGTCTGATGCTTAGCTTTAATTGTAAATGTGTGCCCTGCTTTTTTTGTGTTTCTGGTTTATGCACACTACTCTGAGTAGTTCCTATGGAAGTAAGTACCTATAGCATTTGCATACCTACCAACTGTCACAGATCTTGTAGGACAGTCCCACTTTTTATTCAGTTGTCTTGCAATGCCCGTGTTCCAGGATCACAGCATAATTACAGCATATCTGTCAATACTTTTGCCAAGCAACTCTTCCCTGTTATTTTGTGGCCTCAGCTCATTCATATGCACATCCTGTAATTCATATGTATGCAAATCATATAGGTCCTATAGGTCATATGTAAATAGCACATGTGTGTGGCAGGGGGCAAGACAGCATCTCCTTAAGTGAAAACAGATCCTGGACTAGAGCTGGAGCAGAACTAAGAAGAGGAAGCAGTGAAAGAGCTGAAGAGAAGAAGAGAGCAGAAGTGCTTCTTAGCCACACTATGAATATATAAAGAAACCGTGGCTATATTACGAACATATCAATATATAGGAGTGAAACAATATAATGCACTTGCATTAGTGATAAACGTAAGTCCAAATTTAATCCAAATGCAGTCCATGTCACAGTCCACAAATTCTTCCACATCTGTGCTCTGTGACCTTAAATAATAAAACCAGATTTTCATGACCCTCTTTTCCTAAGTGATTCATGAAATGCTTTATGCAGTTAATATGGCCACATCCAGGTCCCACCAAGGCTTTCACTTCATGCACAGTCCTCTCACATGTAAGTGATTAAAGCCCTTTCAACATCTCTCCTCTCTCTTCCGGTCATAACAATAATCAATCCTTGGTTCCTCCACTAACCACCATAAGAACAGAGCCTCAAAACAAAAACACTTCCCTAGTGTAGTACTGTAACTATAAGCATTTTTATTTAAAGTAATATACTCACATTTAGATAGTAAAACAATAGCCCCAATCCTGCAGTTAAAAAAAATCCCGGGTGACTCCTGCATCTGATGTCACTTTCACTCTACGCATTTTATCATCAAAGGTTTCCTCAGGCAAAGAAGAACTAAATTAACCCCTAAACTGTGCTACCAAAATGATGGAAGTAAAAATTGTAAATAAGAAAATGAACATGTAGTCTATACATAATGTAATTCTATAATGCCATGGTACTGTACCAATCCTCAATAAATTCACAGTGCTTTGCAAACAGTTTATTGAATTGTAATTTGAGGATAAAACATTTTTGCATCTTCAGATTTGTAAAGGTGCTTCAAAAGGGAATATATGTGGTATTGCATATTTCCCTTGTTTATCCTGTTCAGAAAAAAATATGTTTTTGAGAAATATTTTCTTTCAAATAAATATGAAATGTATTATTTCATATTTTCATCTATAGCCAGCAGTTGAAGCCCCTGGATTCTTTGTATATGTTTTCCATGCATTTCCAACTTTACCAAGAAATCTTTTTGAGTTCAACCTCAATGAGTAAAATGAGTGACTCATCCCATCCTGACTCTGTTGCTGTGTCCTGACAGTAGATACAGACTTTCTATCACAGAGAATAAGTCAGAAAGTGAACAGTTCCCAATGTGCTCACTCTTTAGGAAACCTATAATGCACTATAAATCATGGATGCATCCTACACTACATGTGAATTTGTGAAAAACATACTGTGTACAAAAATAGAAAAAATGTATTTAAAACTATAAAGTTTCTTTTCAAGATGCCTAACATACTTAATGAACCACCATCAAAGAGAAAATGTTAAATACCAACAAAATGTTATTTTAGAACACTAAACCTATTACTGCACTGTACATAAAAAAAATGCTTGAAAATTTAGCTAGTTATATAGCAGTGGATAGCTTGGGGTAGCTTAGGTTTGTTCACCAGACATACAGTACACTTACTAGCACAAACTGTGTCCTTGAATGGAAAAAAAAAAAATCTTTACTTTATCTTTACTAAGTTTATTTATCTGGTACCCCTACTAAAACAAGCTACCAGCCAAATGAAATAGACACATTCATTTATCCAGCCATTGTTTGTTCTAATACCAAAACAGTTACTACCTAAAGTCTTCTGCACCATGTTTAACATTTCAAACCTTATTGCATTTCCAAAGAAACTTTGCATTTCCAAAGAAACTTTTCACGTGACATATGAATATCAAGTATGTCAAATGTAATCATGTTTTTATGTCATTGATCCTTTACCTAACAATGTCAAAATTAAATGAGTTCAGCACACTTTATGATTAACTCAAACAATTCTGAAATTATCCTCCTGAACCTGGGCACACTCTCTTAAATATCACTTCCCATTTAAGTGGCAACTCCATTTCCTGAAATATTTGAGCATCTAATTTACTGACTCCTATAGAATGCTCTTTTCTAAAAAATAAAGTGGAGTGGAGACTTGCCCAATTACTTATTTCTTCCCAACAATTAAACCTAGTAAAAGACCTATGGAGTTTCTTACTACCTTTGAAACCCTCTGTGTATGGGAGTCATGCACTGGGGACCTCCTCTTACTCTTACAAACCTATTTTACATGATGAACTAAGTGAAGTATTCTTTGCTGAATGGGAATGGGAATTGGGCATGTGTTCACCAAAACCAAAGGGAAAAGATCATCATACTTAAGCTGGACATATATTAATCATTTTATTGTTCTACCAGTAGGTTTCAGGAAAACAATTACCCAATTCCCCCATTCCCATATTTGAGGTGGATGGGGGAATCACTCCTGTTGAGCTATTGAGTTCTGACAGCAATGGGCCTTCATCACTGTCAGAACACACTGATTAGTGTTCACGACTACAGCCAGCACCACTGATCATTCAGGAAAAGCCAACCCCAACATGCTGTTTTTACAGATGTTTATTGGCATATTTCTTCTGAACAACCAGCCTGCCCATACATAGATTGCAATGCAGCTAGTCCCAGCTGAACTGGCCAAATTTTGATCTGTGTATGGCCAGCTTTATACATGCCTCCTCAATCAACTTTAAGACATGAGTATTGCCATAATCTACTCATTAGGTTGTACCACAATCCAATGAAATTGACCCATATTTCTAATGATGCCATCTACCTGCTGTAGGGGATGTAGGAAACTAGGCTAGGTCTATCATATATGATAGGATTTCCCTAAGGGCCTGTTCCTTATGTCCGCTTTTCATCTGTCCATTTACGGGTGAAAAATGGACACCCGTGTATTTCTATGGACTAGCGGATGTAGACGGATGATCATCTGTTTACATCCATTAATGTCCGCATCCGTTAACATCTGTTTTTACGAATGGAAGAAAACCCTATTTTTCTTCCGTAAAAAAAAAACCGAACGGATGAAAAACGTATGTAAATGGCCAAAAAATGAATGTAAACGGATGAAAACAGATGTACACAGATGAAAAACAGATGTAAACGGACAAAAATGAATGTAAACTGATGAAAAACAGATGAAAAACTGATGTAAACTGATGTAAACTGATGAAAAACTTGGAAAAAAACGTGACTGAACTGATGGAAAAAACGGAACACCTGTGTGAAAGGGGCCTAACTTGCTCTTTAATTAGGAACATCACTGGTGATATCTTATCAGATATCAGATCCCCTACCTTTTTTTCATCACTCCACCCACTCTTCATCAAAGTCTGCAAAATCAGTGTATTCCATCACCTGCTTAATGGCACTAGGAAACCGATCCCCACATTATTGGAAACAAGAATAAACACCATTGCTCTCAGACTGAATTATTAAACTGAATGATATTATGAAAGCAGTGAAGGATGGCCATTTGTGTAAGGATACATATGATACATGTATAATATATGGACTATGTGGCTACATTTTGCCTCTAGCAGAAGTTCTGTACCCTCAACTTATAGGCTTTACATTCATAATTAACCCCCTTTTTTTTTTTTTTTTACAAAAAGCTCTTCCTCAATTTGCCAACAAACAACCACTATAAACATGTCAATTTATCTTCTTGTCTACCTTTTTCTGCTTGTACTTCGATCTGAAAATGAATACCACCTACTTCCACCACTCTACTTTTACAGGTCCCTTGGCCTCTCCCTATCTCCCTCTCCCTTGTATACTGTTCATTATACTTTATTTTTATTTTAAATGTTTTGGAAGGATGCTTTTACCACTGTAATTTGTTATTATTGTATTTCAGAGAAACAAATAATACCACAGGCAAGATTGTTATGATAGAACTATTTATTTCATATGCTGATCCAAGACTTTCTGATATTGTACTGTACTGTTTGATTCATGTCCTGTCTATAAAATTGAAATAAAAAAATTGTGCATAAAGATGCAGACGTATATAAAAAATTACTACCTAATGTCCAATAATAGATATCATTGTACACTATTAATTTGGCCTTATTGACTTAACTGTCCTGGTTTTTAACTTTGATGGGGATACAGGTTTTAGAGCTGCTGTTAACTACATTAAGATTAGGAACAGAAACCAAAATTGCTAAGTTCAGTTATAACCCAGAGCAGCCTATCCAAATATAATGAAATATATAACACACTGCAGCCTGTCTCACTGGTTATATGGCCATACATTAATAGATTTATTTCATTCAGCCTGAACAAAAAAAGTCTAACAGATATCTCCATCCACACAAATAGCATGGATGGAAGAATCCCCCCTGCCAGCTATTGTATACTGACAGCCACTAGCCCTACCTGAACAGCGCCTGCAACAAATTGGTTGCAGATGCTGTTCAGATGACAATTTTAAACCTTGACTCCTTCAACAAAAGTCAGTTTAGCAATTGACCTTTGTTGAGCAGGCAGGTTACCCACTGTTAAAAGTTTGGGCAACTCTTATTAATAACAATGTATGGCCAACTTTAAGCCTGAGGCAGATAACAATTAGAAATGATTACTAACAAATTTCCAAAACACAAGGTCAAGTTTAAATTGATTTTAAAGGTTAGGGATAGCAAAGACCAGATGTCAATACTCTTCAACCATATAATCATGTTTACACTGGTAATAACAGAATGCTGATTGCAATAAGTTAAACTTTATGTTTTATAAGCATGGCATCAAAAGAGTGTATTTTTTTATTATGCATTTGTGTTTCTAATCCTCTTATAAGGAACTTGCTTGGCAAACAATAGACCTTCTCTTGTTATTTTCCTTACTAAAATAAGCTTGTGCATAAAATTGGATTTCCATATTGCTTAAAACTGGCTTTATGATCAAACAAGAAACAAACAACTGCAGTCAGCACTTAGATGTGGTACTTGAACCAGAGAGGAGACACAATTAAAGTAGTCATAAGTTTTCTTTGCCATTCTATAAATAATAAAATGAGCTGAAGGAATCATCCTAAACACACATTCACATACTGTGATTGGTAAAAGTAACATTTATAAACAGCAGCCAATAATGACAAAACAGTATATACTCTTTGAGCTGTACAGCTAGTAATTAATTCTGAAGAAATGTAGTCATTTTATAAAGTTTTTTTTTTTTTAATCAGTTAGTGAGCATTAACCAGCTTAGTGGCATGCTGACTGGTTGTCTCTAAGCATAGAGTGAATTGTCTCAGTCACATACTGTGTTGAGCTTGCTCAAGTAGCATGTGCTAGAGGTTACATTTTATGTCAAAGATATTTCATACATGGCCATTCAGTAGGCTTGGGGGGCTGCTGTGCATACTGAGAAAGATATTACATTTGTGCTGCACTTTCTGACACAGGACCTTCCATCCAGGGTTTCACTCTAAGGATGCTGCTGTAATATCAGTATTGCTGTTAGGCTTTGGCAGGGGCGGACTGACAACTCATGGGGCCCCCGGGCAATAGGGAATCATGGGGCCCCTGTGTCGTAGCCCAAACTCAAAAAAGCCTATATAAAAAGGTACCAGGGGCATCTCATGGGGCCCCCTACTGACCCCAGGCCCTCGGGCAGTGCCCGAGTTTCCAAATGGTCAGTCCGCCCCTGGGCTTTGGGTACTAAGGGCAGGTGTGCTGCATGAATGTCACTTCCTTCCTGTGGCATGAATGTCACTTTTCTGAAAATATTGACTGCAATGATACGCTATAAGGGCCTACAGGAAGCAAGCTGCAGAGGTTTACCATAAGGAGCTGGTGAGATACTTTAAAAATTCAGTCAACATACAGTAGCTCAGTAACAGTGAGACCCACAAAGCTAAAAAGACAAGCAAGAAGATCAAAGGCTGCATTTTGAGAGCAAATAGTAGTGTATTCTGTGTTCCCTTCACCCTCATGCCCAGGCAGGGGCGGACTGACAACTCATGGGGCCCCTGGGCAATAGGAAATCATGGGGCCCTTGTGTCCTTGCCCAAACTCAAAAAAGCCTATGAAAAAGGTACCAGGGGCATCTCATGGGGCCCCCTACTGACCCTGGGCCCTCGGGCAGTGCCCGAGTTTCCAAATGGTCAGTCCGCCCCTGTCCCCAGGTCTTCATGCACATGTGCAATAAACCTTCAAAATCCTAAGCAAGGAAATTAGAACCCATCATTCTAACCAACCTGAGGACAAGAACTTCACCCTGAAAGGAATGTGCCTGAGAAATTTATCACAAAGTAAGTGGATCTGTGGCATTTGTAATGTGGCTATTGGTTTTATGAGGAGTCCAATTACTTTACAATATGTCTGCCTACGTCATTGTACGTGTACAATTCTTTATATTGTAAAGCATATATGAAGCTGAGCAATGAACTTTTCTTTTCTGCTCCCTCAGTTTAAAAATCCTAAAATAATAAAAACGAATACAGCCACCACATCTAAGGATACAAATACTGCAATACATTCTATTTTTTCTTCTTCAATTTGAATATACTTTATTGTTTTCTTATGATACTATGGAATACATATGTTACAAAAACACTGCATCTGTCTTTGTGAAATGCTTAACTCTAGTCAGAGGTTGACAGCTTGAAACATTAGCAAGCTTCCCAACAGCCCCCTGGTTTAATTTTATTTTCTAAAATTATCAACCACTATATACATTTCATTGGAACAGCACTAAACAAAAGTTCCAGCATCATCACCCTGCCCAATGCAGATTTGTGATTCAACACTGAATATCACTTTTATCAAGTCATCCATAGTCCATGATTGCTTTTCTTTAGCCCACTGTAACCTTTTTTTTCTGTTTAGGTGTTAATGATGATTTTCGTTTGGCTTTTCTGTATGTAAATCCCATTTCCTTTAGGCGGTGTCTTACAGTTCGCTCACAGACATTGACTCCAGTTTTCTGTTTTCAAGGCATATTGCTTTAAGTTTTCTATCTTGACGCTTTGATTTCTTCCTTGGCCTATCAGTATGCTTCCCTTTTACAACCTTCCCATTTGATTTGTATTTGGTCCAGATTTTAGACACAACTGACTGGGAACAACCAACATCTTTTGCAACATTCCATGATGACTTACCTCCTTGAAGTTTTATAATCCTCCCCTTTGTTTCAGCTGACATCTCCCAAGTTGGAGCCATGATTCATGTCAATCAGCTTTGTGCAACAGCTCACCAAGGGGTGCATATACTCTTTTTTTACCTTCAGACTAATTAGCAAATGTAATCTGATGCAGATGTTTGTTTTAGAACTGAAAAGTACATGGTGATTCCATAATATTTTCCTTAGAACTGAGTGATTCCTTTTTTCCCCCCTCCATTTGTTCTGCAAAAACTATTGCAATTGTTTACAGTTTGCTTTCTTTTTTATTTTTGTAAGTGTTTTTTAAAGCTAGAAGGTTGGAATGTTAGGTGAAAATAGTTTTGATGCATGTCTGTGATTTTTTTTTCTACACAATATACAATTTCATGAACATTTTCCAAAAGTGGTGATTCCATACTTTTTGCCAGGGGTTGTATTTATTCCTAAGAATGTAGTCCTATTATCAGAATTGTTACTTTCCTCAAATTTGACCTTTAGAAGAGTAAGGATGCCTATAGAGAAGTCTTTTTTTTTGGGGGGGGGGGTTGAATGAAAAAAACTGACTTGATTCCCCCATCCATGCATTCGATGTGGATAAGGGAATCCTCCACACCTTCAGAAACACAAAGGCACATTGGGTGGCTTCACACGAGCTGAAAGGTTTTTCCAGAAGATGTGTTTGCCTTTGGCACAATGGAACTGTGGAGTTGTGTCCAAAGAGCAGAGCAGACAGCCATCCATGTGCAGAAAATGTATATTGTACATATGTGTTATGTATATAGTATATGTATAAACTGTAATTAGAAAACATTCTAGCCTTACGTAAATTAGTCAAATGGACAATTGTTTACTGTCCTAGGAAACAAGAGTTGTAAACACTGCAGTTGGCTTTACTTGGTATTTTCAGTAACTGCCAGTAGGGTCTTTTCATCATCTTGGCTAACCAGAAAGATCAAAAATGTTTGATCAACCAATCAGCTTCCTAAACATCTTAGGAAAAAAAAATATATATCAAGGGAAGATTTGATTGTTTGGAAAGTATGAAGGAAGGGATGGCCTAGGACAGAGGGCACATGAATGTATGTACATGCATAAAACACACCTACATGCATAGTCATGGCCAAAAATATTGGCACCCTGACATGTCTGTCAGATAATGCACCAATTTGATCAGAAAATTCTTGCAATTACAAATGTTTCAGCATTCTCATGTTTATTTATTTTGTTTGTGTTGGTTTGACGCAAGAAAGGCTAATCACAGTGGCCTTTTACCATGTGATCAGCTGTGTCCAATCACAGCTGACCACAATGTAAATACACTTGCCGCTTAGCAGCAGTACTTTCCTCACAATGACACAGCATGAGAAAAGTACTGCCGATAACCGGCAACTGTCAAAGGAGACATCTGCACTGATAATCAGTGCACTTATTATCAGTGTCCAGATTATCAATGCATCCCCAAATGTGCCCATCAGTGCTCAGAAATGCTGCCCATCAGTGTCCAACAGTGCTGCCCAGCAGTACCCAACAGTGATACCCAGGGGTGCTGCCAATCTGTGCCCATCAGTGCCACTTATCAGTGGCACCAGTCAGTGCTGTCAGTCAGTGCCTTTCAGTGCTACCTATTACTGCCCATCAGTGCTGCCTACCAGTGCCCATCATTGTCATCTACCAGTGCCGCACATCAGTGCAGCATCATCATTGCCTCCTCATCAATGCCCACCAGTGCCGCCTCATCAGTGCCATCTCATCAGTGCAGTCTGTGCCCATCAGTGCTGCCTCATAAGTGCCCATCAGTGCTGCCTATTAGTGCCCATCAGTGCTGCCTATTAGTGCATTCTCATCAATGGACATCAGTGAAGGAGAAAAATTACCTGTTTGCAAAAGTTCATAATTAAAACAAACAACTTTTTTTCAAAATTTTTGCTCTTTTTTTTGTTTATAGTGCAAAAAATAAAAACCCCAGTGGTGATTAAATACCACCAAAACAAAGCTGTATTTCTTTTTAAAAAATTAATAAAAACATGTAGTGTTGCATGACTGCGCAATTGTCATTCAAAATGTAACAGTACTGAAAGCTGAATATTGGCCTGGGCAGGAAGGCGGTAAAAGTGCCCAGTAGGCAAGTGGTTAAAAATAAGTGGTTACTGAACATAAATAGTACAGCTTTTATTCTGTAATTTGTCCTATTTTTAAATGACACTAAAATTATGGTTCCAGTACAAAGCATTGCAGCTATTTACAAATGAAATAAAGTTTATTTTTTTTCCAATTTTGCACTTTTTTTTAAATGTAGAATTTGTAAATACATACTGTATATGTTAAAGGTGTAAAACTATTTTGTAAAATATTTTTTTAAAAGTTTAAATATTATTAGTTAATAAGACACTAGAAACTAACAACATAAATCAGCAGGAAAATAATAATGGAAAAAGAGAATAAGGAGTTAATTAGGGCTGATTAGAGTAAACTGGGGTTAATAAGGGGTAAACAGAGGAATGTTTAATTAAAAAAACAAAAGCAACATATATTTTTTTTACTTGTCAGGTTGCTTTAACTTACTTCATCTGCAGATCGAAGTTCATCCCTTTGATCTGTAGATGAATAAACATATACAAAATTAAACATTGTTTCTTTTGAGCAATGTTGTTGATAAACATTGCCAGACTGCTTTTCTTTGACAGCTCCTGCTGTCAGACCTTTCTTCTCTGTGTACTTAGCAATGCCGATTTGATACACTTGCCCTCCCGAGGATTTACCCCCCTTCCTGACCAGGCCATTTTTTGCGTTAGGACGCTGTGTTACTTTAGCTGACAATTGCACGGTCATGCAACGCTGTACATAAATGAAATTGATGTCCTTTTTTTTCCCACAAATAGAGTTTTCTTTTGGTATTTGATCACCTCTGCGGTTTTTCTTTTTTGTGCTATAAACAATTTTGAAAAAAAAAAACAATAGTTTTGACTTTTTGCTATAAAGCATATCTAGTACAAAATGTTTTAAAAAAAAAAATCATCATAAATGTAAGCCAAAATGTATTCTGCTACATGTCTTTGCTAAAAAAAAAATCCCAATACATGTAAATTAATTTGTTTATGTGAAAGTTGTAGCATCTACAACCGGCGGAATATACACTGGAATTTTTTTTGTTTGTTTTATACTAGTAATGGTAGTGATCAGCGACTTATAGCGGGACTGGCAGGCATTCTCACACTGGGTGGGAACTGACTAACTGCCACTGACATCTCAATGACACTAATACAGTTGATCAGTGCTAATAAAACATTGTACATTGACATTGTACTAATGAAACTAGGCAGGAAGGGGTTAACATCTGGGGCGATTAAAGGGTCAACTGTGTGCTGTTTTATTAGGGAAACATACTGCTGTGTATTTATTTGAAATACACAGCAGAATGTTCTTGCTGGCACACAGGCTTCTCTCCTGTCAGTGTTACTTGGAGATCGCCGGGTGGCGGATTGACATCTGTATAGCCCCCAATGGCAGTGCAGGTAGCGCTGCACGCCCCTTACCTGGAAATGCAAATCACATATATATATATACACATGATTTTGCGCAGCCCTAGATGTAGTTCTACTATAGGGCGGCGGGCAAGCAGTTAATCAGAGATGAATTGCTAAGTACTGTGATTACACATGCCCTGTGTACAATGATAATTTTTTTGGGGGGGTGTCTAAAATATCCACAGTCTTCAACTGGTTAATAATTATGCTACCAAAATTAGTGTGTGCTGCAAATTGCCACCCTGTTCCTGCACCAATATCCCTGCTTCTTCTTGCCGGAGGCTGTTAGTTTGCTGAAGCCCAGAGTGCATAAGCAGCAGTAAATCTTCAGGCTGTCAACAGATTGGTCTATACATTTTCAGCACAATGCCAAAATATAGAGAGTAACTGAGCATGTGCAGAACAGGGTGAAACAGTGTATTACTGAATTTTATAGGCACTTATTTTCAATGTTTTACAAAGCCATACCTGCAAAAGGGGCCAGCATAAAGTGGTCTAGCTGTATTTAATTTTCTGACAAAAGTTTCACTTGAAACAACTTGCTTGGGGGATGCCCTAAGCCTGCCAGTGAAGTGGCACACCTGTTCAGTGTATAAAATGTACTGCAACAAAAGTGACATTTACAGACAAATCCCAGTTTAACCACATCCATACCGTGCTGTAGCCGAATAACGACTACAGCATGGTTGTCCAGTTCTGGGAGGGCGTCATATGATGTCCTCCCAGAAAGCATCCTCCTGCGTGCCCCCAGCACACCTAGTGGTCTCCGTGAGCTCTGTGTCCTACGGACACAGCTGATCACATGATGAGGTAAAAGGCCAATCACAGCGGCCTTTTACCACATGATCAGCTGTATCCAATGACACAGCAGATCACCAAGTAAAATACAGTTGCCAGTTATCAGCAGCACTTTCCTCACACTGTCACAGCATGAGGAAAGTACTGCCAATAACTGGCAGCTTTCACAGAACAGATTGGCACTGATGATCAGTGCCCTGCAGTGCTGCCCAGCAGTGCACCCATCAGTACCCCCCCATCAGTGCCCAGCAGTTGTGCCCATCAGTGTCACCCATCAGTGCCCATCAGTGCCGCCCAGCAGTGCCGTCAATCAGTGCCATCAGTCAATGTCATCACTCAGTGCCACCCATCAGTGCTGCCTATCACTGCCCATCAGTGCCCATGATTGCTGTATATCAGTGCAGCATTATCAGTGCCTCCTCATCAATGCCCACCAGTGCTGCTTCATCAGTGCAGCCTATCAGTGCCCATCAGTGCTGCCTATCCATGCCACCTCATCAGTGCTCATAGGTGTCCATCAGTGCTGACTATCAGTGCCCATCACTGCAGCCCCATCAACGCACATCAGTGCAGGAAAAAAATTACCTGTTTGTAAAAACTTTTTTTTTTCAAATTGGCGATTAAATTGCACAAAAAACCCTCTATTTGTGGTGAAAAAATGAAACAAAATTTCATATGGGTACAGGTGTTGCATGGACCGCGCAATTGTTATTCAAAATTTTCCACCACAGCTGAAAATTGCCATTGGCAATGAACAGGGTAGAAGTGCCTCAGGTAGGCAGTGCGTTATAATTTTAGTTAAAAACATTTCCTTGCCAACTTGGTTTCTTTGTAAAAATGGCATGGGGACTCCCCCCAGATTAACACACACCAGACACTTAAGGGTTTAGTATGTATTTTGTGGGACCTTTGGGGCCACCATGACATATTTACAAAAAAGAAAAAAGCAGGAAAAGTGTAAATTACTAGCACTATTTTATTTTCTTAGTACAAGAAGCTTGGCAAGAATGACAAAAAATTGTTGAGGGGCCCCCCCAGATTTTATGCCAGAACCCTTATCGTAATGGATTAATGCATAATGGATTTTAAGATGCCACTCAAGGCAAAAAAAAAGTAATTCATTGTGGGGTTCACCTAAAGGGTCTGGTACAGATTTTAGAGACATAGCCCATGCAAAAAGCAAAAAAAAAAAGAAAAAAAGAATGCAGGTCTAGCTAAGCCAGGGAAAGGGATAGGAAGGGATTGGCCCTCCTGCAAACCATACCAGGCCAGATACCCTCTACATGGGATGGAGATCCCCTGGCAAAGTACATTGTCAAAACATGTTAGCGAGCCTCTACCCCAAACTCTGGCATGGCAGCTGTGGGGCTGTATAGATACAGCGGGAGCTTATTGCAATATGGAAGCCCCATTTAAAAATAAGGGGTCCCTCAAGATATAGCACCCTGCCTACCTGCAAAATCAAAATTAAGCTGCAAGACCATACCCCCCTGGCCCAATTTTGAGCCATCCTGAATCAAGCTTTTTCTGTCTCACTGCAAAACATGTACGCAAGCCTTTTTGAGCCAACACACTGGCCAATATGAAAGGTTGAGAGATACAAAAAGGTCATTTTGTTCTGCTTTTTCTTTCTGAATAAAAGCCAATTGTTTAAGATAGCCCCCTAGCAGGTATGGCAAAAGGAAAATTATTTAGAGGTAAATCTGGGACACAGGTCCATTACAGTAAAAAAAAAAATGCTGCACCACCGTAATTTAATAATACAAATCACTTTTTACCAATTCCCCCACCCCCAGAAAATAGGAAAATAAAGCACAATTATAGTCTTTACCCATAAAAACACTTAAATGTACCACTTATCAGCTAAGGACCACCCTCATTTCAAAAGGGGGATAAGATTGCTACATGGCAGATAAAGAAAATACTGTTTCTAATCAAGCACATGATCAATATAGATCCTACTGCTTTCATAAAAAAAAATAAAAAAAAAAGATGAAATTTCAGTCGAAAAAAATGAAGTTCTGCTAGATCACTTTAGGCTGGTCACCTTTTCTTTTGCAGGTTAGCTATGTAAAACATTTAAAAATAAGTGGCCTATACTGTTTAAAATCCATAATAAACTGTCTCACCCTGCTCTGCACATGCCTCAGTTGCTCTCTAATTTTAGGGCACTGTGCAAATAATTTGTAGATGACCAAATCTGCTGACAGCCTAAAGATTTAATGATGTTCCATTTTGGGCTTTGAACTTCTCGCAAAATGGAAGCCTCCAGCAATGAAGAAGCTGGTAGCAATGCTGGAGGCAATTTACAGCACAACACTAATTTTGGTAGCATAATGTGGAATGTATGTTTTCTTGCTAAAGAACATTAATTTTACCACGTTGTTATAGGTAAAGTTCAACTTTAAGCCAGTGTTTTATTTCTGATGAATAAATTATTTAGTAACTACTTACATGATAATGCTTTAGCTTTTATCTGTAGGAACTAGGGAC